TGTGTCCCTGCTGTGAATCTCCTGTCAATGATCACAGAACTGGATGAATAAGCCCAACACATGTCTGCTGGTTTTGGTGCAACCATGCTTAGCAAAGACACCTCCAAAGGAGATGAAACTGGAGGCTGATGCAGTCTGACACAGAACTGTAGGGCAAGTTTGTGCAAAAGGCTCTCTCCTCACATTAGGAAATGTGGCATTGCATTATCAAGCTTGGAGAAATGCAAGGAAAAACAGATCCTGAAGTCCCAAAGAAACAGTCGTTTGTGGAATTTAATTTTTAATATTTGCAGTACATGGAAAGTGAGTGTCATAGTGGGGTTTGTGCCTGACAAGTGTATGGTGCCACAAAGGAGAGGAGCACCCTATTTCAGAGTGAGGTTTTGCTACATGGTTTTGCTGCCTGAGCCATTCTCCTGTGTTCTAGAGAGATGCCCAGGAACAGTGGGGCATCTATCACAATGAAGAAGGTACAGCCTTCATCATTTCACAAGCAGCAGGTGTTGCCTGAGTTGAATGAGGGGAGGGTAGTCCAACAAGTTTACAAACACCACTCAGAAAAAGGAAGCTGCTCTCAAGAAAATTTAAATTATTTTAAAATATCGGTGCCTTTGAAAAACTATATGTTAGTTTTTACTAGACAAAATACAGCTGTAATTTTATTTAAATAAAATTGATTTATTCATGTAAGATGTCTGTCATGTTTTCTGGTGAAAAAAATATAACCATTAATGGGACAGGATGGGATGGGATAACACTGTCATAACACATCCAGGCATTTGAACAAGTTGCACTTTAATCCAAGAAAGGTCAGTACTACCTTGTAATTAGAAACTGAGGTTTGTTCTATTTAAATTATTTTAATGTATTATTTAAATTATTTTTTCCCTTAGCATGAACGAAGAGCAAATACAACAGCAAAGAATTTGAATCCTCCAGGTTCACTCATCCTGAAAACTCAGGCACTAAAAACCTTCAGTGGATCAAGTATCTTAATCAGGTACTCTTCCCCAAAATGTTTCAGTTCCTCCAAACAGCAGCTGGGGTGGGAGTTGCTGGTACAAAAGTTGGTGGAAGAAAACAGAACAGTTTTTTTATCCAAAAAAAATCTTCAGCATGTGCAGTGGAAGGGAGCCTGACTCAAGGACTGAGTAACAAAGAGCACATCTGTTAAAAGGGAGAAAGACAACTGGAAAACTGCCAGAAAATTTGTCCTTAAAATCTATTCTAGGTGCAATATGTGCTTGCTCAAAATAGCTGTCAAATAAGGAATAACTTGTCCTCAGATGACTTTTTTTGAAACACTAATTTCTACCTCTTTGCTAGGTAACAGTTGGAGTTCATGGATCTCTGTGTTTGATATGTTTCTTAGAATGAAAATACGTTTAGAAAAGTAGATGAAAACCATAATTATAAATACTACAGCAATTTAGTTTAGAAAGGAATCTCTCCCCTATAGACTTCTGCCATTTACTGACAAAACACTCTGCCAGAGATTATAGCTCAGAGGTCAATGTAAGGGCACAATAAAGGCACGAAATTGGAGCAGAAATGGTTTTGCCTGTATGCCATCGTTATGAGCCTCTGCCTCCCTGAGGAGGAGAAGGAAGAAATGGAAAACAGGCTGCAGATCCATACAGCTGGGCAGCAATTAAACAACAAGAAATCACTCCCAGCACTCTGAAGAGCCTGGGAGGGGCAGCTGTGTTCAGGGTACACAGCATTCCAGCCTCCTGCCTCCGGTGTTATTTACCAGGGACAAGGTTCTCAGACACATGGTGGGATTTTATGGCTCTTGTGCTGCAGGAAACAGCAATGCCAATCTTCCAGTAGGAATGACAGGGAGGGAAAGCTTGCACTGCTTTGCTGGAATTTTACTCTGGTTTGTGACTCTGACTCAGATGCAGTTGACACATTAAAAAAAGTCAAAGATGGTGTTTACTGCTGGCACCATGCTTTGTGCACACTTGAAAACAAAAAAGAAAGGAAATAAGAAACATCTGGCTCTAATTAAGGCTTAAAAGAAAAGGAAGAAAGCAGAAGAAACATATCCAGTCACACAAGAGTGATTTTATCTCCCTGCAGCTGCATCACACATACAAATTTGCAAGTGTTAAGATTCCCCTTCAGTTTGTTATTCTATTATATAAACATGGTTTAATATTTTCATAAATAAAAGTATGCTATCTTTTAAGAGGTGTTCATTCATTTGTGTTGGTTTTGCCATCTGGTGCCTTAAGTATTTTTTTTCTCTGCATTTATATAAAGTGTTCATATGAAGTTAGAAATTCACAATCAGTTTTGCTCACAAACTGTCCCCCGTTTGCAAAGCTGGGCTTGCAAAGTTTTGGACTCTTAGTATTTTGTATATCTAAACTCAACATTCTAGTCAAAGATATCCTTGATGATGTTAGCCATGTAAAGGAAAGAAGCAGGGATGCTCTTTCCATTGAATGGGAAGGGCAGTGTGAGTAATCACAAGAATGAATTATGATTTCTTTCCTATTTTGTCATTTAAAAATACCTGCACTCATCGAGCAGCATTTCTATTAGCAAAGGACTCAGACCTGTGATTCAGTAGCTGGGCATGCTTTCACTATACCACAAACCTCAGACTGAGTTTAGCAAAGCTGGATGGAGCTTAATGTCACTGAACTGTTCTGAGCCTCATTTTCCCATCTTCCATAACCACATTACACTTGGCTCTGTTTTGTCTGTAAGAGTCCTGCTCAGGGATGAGCATCTTCCTGTGTGTCTCTTAGATCCAGTTTTACATTCTCATCCCTGTAAACTGCAGGAAAGCAAACATTTAACTGCTTATGGCAGGAGGCTGTAAAGTAATTAACATTTCAAGGCTCCAAAGCATTCTCAGGGAGCAGGATGAGGAGGAGATGTTTCTGTCCAGCTGAGCATTGCTGCTGCTCAGTTTGGCAGCAGTGGGAGAGCTGGGCCATGCAGCCTTTGTGCTCCCAGGGCTTGCCTGGCCAGCCCCACAATTTCTCCCAAGCCCAGGGGATCCCTGGCCATTGGATGCACACTGGGGCCTCTGGAGCTGTGCCACAGCCCCTCACACGGCTGTCCTGCCCCACAGAGCTCCGTGCCTGCCCCTCTCCAATGAAGCCTCCCATTCCCTGGCACTGGGGGAATCTGCAGTTTGGCACCTTGGGCAGGGGAAGGGCTCTGGTGGCCCTGGGTGCTGTTTGCTGCCACCCTGGACTCACCTGCGACCAGAGTGCCACGGCCCCTGTGCCCTCCTCGTGTCCCTGTGCTGGCCCACCACTGAGCATCTTCTCCCTTTCCTGTTTCCCATGCTAATGAGAGTAACATGGAGAGAGGAAAGATCTAGCACAAGGAACAGGGCTGCCACAGACAGACAGGCAGACAGACAGACACCCCCTGACTGGACAGGGCTGAGCCCAGAGGGACAGCATGCAGCCCTGTCCCTCCTAAAGGTTTGTACCAGCCTGGCTCTGGGGTGGTGGCACAGTCTGGCTTTAACTAAACTTCTCTGAGCAGATTATTAAGACATTTGGCTCTCTGAAGAAGCACATTAACAATTTTGGTGCTCCCATTTGTGAAAGAAATTGTGGGAATACACAAAATCAGAGGGTTTTGGGAAAGCTGCAAAAGGCAGGCCTCAGAGACAGTAAAACTGTGATTAGAGCTGAGCAGTAGCCATGAGATAGGTCAGCAGAAAAATTATTTAAAAAGTAGAAAAGTAAGGAAAAATAGAACAATATTCTATTGTCTAGAATAACTCTAGAATAACGCTTGTCTAGAATAACTCTCTAAGCTACAGAAAAGTTTATCTATCAAGATATTAAAAAGTTCTAAGCTTAGTAATGGAGCTCTGTGCATTGTGTTTTAAGGCTTACAAGCAGGTATTGTATTGGAAATAAACAAGACTGTTTTAACCAAAGGTACATGTGCTTACAGTGGTTGGATGGAACTACTGTCAATGTGCTTTTGCTTTGTGTGATTGGGCTTTAAAGAACTTTTAAAGTGAATTGTAACATTAAGTTCTTGGTCTGCTGCCTGGGATGTGAGCTGCTGGCATCTTCCCATTGTCATCACCATGTAATGAGACTGATGCTGGAAAATAAAACAGCTCAAAGCACGTTCCACAGCAGCCTCGTCCCATTTCTGATTTTTACATAGATCCCGGCCAGTGATAAGAAATCTTAATTATTTCAGCATTTCCATAGTCTTTCCTATGTCCTGAGGAGTTTTTTTCAACACAAAGTGTCTTGGTCACCTGACATGAGATAATTTTTATTTTCAGTGTGAATATTTTGAATATGAGTATCATTATGAGTACCTTGCAGATTGCCATCAATTAAATTAAAATAATAAATACATATATTGCTCATTTTTATTCTTCATAAGAAGAAACGACATCATAACAATCTGTAAGGTGTTAAAGGAATTGTAGTCTGGAGTAGTAGCAGTATCAGTAGTATCTAATGGCTAGGCAATTGTGCCACATCCCAAGAGACCAGAACCCTTTTTTTTACTGCATTTTTGTACATCCTCTGCACATCACATCAGCTTGTTGAGTCCTGTTTTTTAAAGTGAGATGGAATTGCTTTGGTAATTAAAAAAGCTAAACAAATCTCCTTTCCTCACTAGCAAAAACCACCATGTAAAAGCAAGGTACTGTCCCTACTTACACAATGGGAATTAATCCACTGAATGCTGATGACAAAAAAGATGTGTTTATTCCAACTCATTCTTAAAATAACTCTATTTTCTTCTTCACTTTGACTGCGCTGACTTTCACCCTGTGCCAGCCAGCACCACTTCCCCCAGGGTATGTGCAGATCTATAATGAAGACCAGAGTCAGTCCCCAAGAGGCAATAAACACACATAGGCCAAAACTCTTATTTTTAGAACAGAAAAGGTTAAAGTTTTATCAGCAGACAAGTAGTTAATGGTTTATAACAAGAATATGACTGCATAATAACCATTTTATAGCATTGCAGACAGCCTGCACTACAACATGCCTTCACCCTACTGGGACAGAATTTTGGCTGGAGTCACTGTTGTGTAGTGACTGTGGCCCTTTGGGTGCTGTGCATTTGGCAGCTCCTCAGGTTCAAAGCAGGCAAGATTTAGAAATTATTTTATAATTTAAATAAATGGGGTGAATTATTCTACCCCATTTGAACTCTTTTTTGGGTTCTTTTTCCTTTCCCTAAATGTTTAAGCATGACTGCTGAGAAACATGATTACATCCATGTTGCATGCTTCTGAGGAGGAAATATTTTTCTTCTTACAACAATGTTTAAAGAAGTACCGCAAACTTTGTATGCTGCTGTAAAACAGAAGATGATGACAAGCAATCTCTGGAGTGCTTTCATTGGAACATGTGTACACTGCTCATGACTCTGATATAACTTTGAGAAATGTCTTGACATTTTCTCACCCTTTTGGTAGAAATTTGATTTGTTTTTCAAAAGAGATAAATAAACCTCTAACTAGTCTACGAAATTGTATCTTAAAAAGGAAATATTTACTTTGCAGATGCTTGTATGTTTGCATCCATATTGCACCTGTTCATGTTTCCATTGCAACTTGCATTGTGGAAATATTTACTGAAAGCATACCAGAGAGTTGCATTTTCTGTATTTGAAAATCAGGTCAATGTACTCTTGTAAAATATTTCTGTGTGCAAACTTGGAGCAGAAAGCTCCTCAGTGTTTACTCAGCAAAATACTCACTACATTGAAGTGACACAAAACTTTGCACGGACCTATATTTAAAATTCTTTGAAAGAATCAAGTAATCCTGGCTGCCTGTCCAGTAAAGTCAGACATGATTTAAGACCAAGAAGCCTGAAGAAAAGTTTATATGAGGATTCATTAGGTTACATTTACTTCAAGAGATTTATCAGATGTTTGTAGGGATTGAATATTCCCGAGCCCAAGAAAGGACACAAAAGTAAACAGTGATTATTTAACATCAATGTTAAACTATTACTGTCAGTAATAATCTACCTTTGTTAAAATCAGTTTATGCTCAGACCCTTGTTTGACCTGATGGAGCCAAACCCAGATGAGAAGGGAGTTAAATGTCAGTGCAGCACAGGGATCCCTCTGCTTGTGCCTAACCCAGCTGCAGGCAAACAAGCTGCTAAGGAAGGAATTTAAACTGCAGCTCCTTCAGGGGTGGAAAATACCTCCATGCCCATCTGGTGTATTGCTTGCTGTGCATAGTGGTAGAGTTTCCTCTTTTTTCAGACTTCAATCACAAGTATTAGCATCAACAGTTCCCACGATGCTTGATCAAAACTCCCTCAGCAGTTCATGGTGACCTGGTAATATGTAATGATCTAATAATTTTAGTTCATAAATATATACAGTCAACAATCAGTGGCATTCTTGACATGATTAATGTCTGCAAAACTTAAAAGACAAAGAAGATGTTTTCTGAATCTTAAAATAAAACCAGAAGAACCCCATGATTTTAAGCCTGTTACAGCATGTGTTATAGCTGCGACTGCATAAGTCAGCTCAGGAATTTGCATTTGTGAAAGACAGATTTCTCTCTGAAACAAAAAAAGGCTCATGTGACTTTGAACAGTAGGCTAAGAAAAGTTACCAGGCAGCTCTAATAGAGGCACAGTTTTGCCTGGCATTAGCAGGTTCTGAGAGTGTCACGCTGTTACAGAGGAACTCTTTTGGAGGATGCAAAGGTAAGGCTGATGCCCTTTGCTGTCACCTCCCCTTTGCTGCATGGGCTTCACAGCAGCTCTGTCTGCACCTCCAGGGGTGAATGCTGAACTTTTTACCCCACAGCTGCCTGCTTTTCTGCTTCATTGCTTCCAAAGGACAGTCAGCCCAGTCTTCCTTTTCACCTTTCTCTTTCCTTGCCCTCCTTTGCAGACCATAACCAGCCTTGTCCCAGCTGTCTGCAGAGGCAGCTCCAGCACTGTTCCCACCTGAGGCTGTCCCATACTCTGCTCCTCAGCAGGCACCAGGGTCCAGGCATTGGCAGGGCAGCCCTGCTCCCTCCCTGCTTTTGGGATCCTTGCTGCCAGATGTGGCCCTGCCTGGCCCGGCTGCTTCAGGTTCATGCTCACCAAGCAAGGCAGAGGCTGGAGCTGTGCTGCAGCTTCCCCAGTGTCCTGGGGGTTCCGAGGCTCCCAGTCCAGAGCAGGGAGGTGGCTGAGCCCCAGGGTGACTCCTGTGCCACATGAGCCACACTGAGTGCCTGGCTGGTGGGACAGTGCAGGAGCAACAGCGCCGTGATCGGACACCCGGCTCCCACAGATCCAGAGCTTCTCCACAGCTGCTTAGGGCTGCACAAATCTGGGCCACACAAATCTCAGTTGCTGGAGGAGATTTCCTTTCCTTCCTGTAAGATTTCCAGTGGAGAGACAATGTGTTTTGAAAAGCTGGTGGCTGGGACAGACATTACCTAGCTACACTTAGATGTTATTCCAGTGTCATCAGAGACATCTGGCTGCAGTGGAGTTGAGACAGCCTGAAACACAACTGCTAAATAGCAATAACATGAGCAAAAGCTGAGCAAAGAGTGCCAAGAATAGACTTATCCCTGCCACGTGGCACAGCCCTTATAGTTTGCAATAATCTTCCAGTTATATGAATCCCATTAAAGAGTAAGAAGTTAAGCAATCTCTTTATTTCAGTGAGAACATTAGAAATATACAATGGCACGTGTTCCTGGCAGTGCTGTTTACTTTTGAATGCTCTGGCTTTACTCTGTTTGTCAGTTTGTCTCAAAACACAGTCATTAAAATGTCAGATCAAATGGCAGTCCTCAAATCCAGTTTTCTGCATTATTTGAAACCATACACCCAGTGCATAGGTGTGCAATTTCCACTGTGACCCTTACTGGAAAGGATTCCAACTCCATTCTTCACTTAGGGACCTGGTGAGATTGGCTGTGAGCAAACCTTGCTCTGTGGAGATCCCCCAGGTCTTGGATCCTTCTTTCCAAGACTGAGGTCTGCCCACCCCTTCCCTGTTGATATTTCTGCAGCAGAATGCCCCTTTAGCAATTCCAGATTTGCCAGTGTCTTTTTAAAAAAGCCTTAAGATTTTCAGAGCTTCCTCTGAAATATCATAATACACAGGAAATACCATAGCACATTCAGAAATTTCTAAGATCTGCAACTTCTCTGCTATTGCTTAGACAGTACTTTTTTTCCCCCTGAAGCTGTGGCAGCCAGTTCAATGATTATTTCAAAGACGACCCACTATTTCTGCCCAAAGACAGAATAAAAATCATCACCTGTCCTGAAGTGGGTATAGAAACTATGGCTGAGTTTGGGGCATGGGGTTTTCCTGTTCTATCCTATAATGCCTGTCTTAAATCATAGCATCCTTATCTTGGTTCTTGGATGTGTGACTATCCATATCCTTATTATTGTGCCAGGCCCTTCAGCATTAGGAATCTGTGGCTTTGTTTTGCCTTCTTGGTCCTGTGAATTCCTGCAAAAGTAATTTGGGTGTTTCATGGACTTAACAGTTTGAGCTTTTGGTAGACTGGAGAAACACACTCCTGGTCATTCAGCATCTGCACACAATTGCTCCCACCTATATTGTTTTGGGAATGCAAATTCATGTTTGGAAGCTTTGACCCCACATTCATGTCATTGGTTTTAGGGGTCTGTTTCAGAGAAGTTGGCTTAAATAAAATAATCATGGCTGGGATTTCAGCACTGGAAACAAACCATTATGATGATTCTGTGATTTCTTTTGGTCACTGCTCTAGTGTTCTGCATTTGATTTACTGTGAATTGCCTTAAAAATAGATTTTAATAGCTATAGTTGTTAAAATACATGTACGAGTATATGGGTGAGATTATGTGTCATATATATATTTTTAGCTGAGGCCTCAAAAATATCATGTTTCTTTCTTTCCTTCATAAAATTAAATAGATACATTATTTTATATACCTGTTGATGAATATATATATATATATATATATATACATATTTATATATATGCCTTGATTCTTTATTTGCACAGCACTACAAAAACCATGGAATCTCCTGTCCCTGTGCTCCTGTCTCCACAGAGGCAGCAGCTCTGGGGATGGAGCCTGTCTGTGCCCAGAGGAGTGGGTGGGATCTCTTTGTCATACAGGTCAGTACAAGCCAGGCAGTGCAGGCAGCTGGCACCATTTCTGGGAACATCTCCACTTTGGGATATCCCTGACTTTTCCTGCTGCTGAGATCTGCTCAGCAGGGTCAGACCTGCAAGCAGTGCCATGGCTCTTCTCGTTTGGTGAGGCTGTATTTTTCACCCACCTCAAAGGAATAATACATCTGGAGAAGACATTACAGGTTTTGACAATCTGTGGCCTGTTTCTAGCCAATTTGGTCTTTGTTTGAATTCCCCTGTTTGAAGATCACAGTCACTTGAAAATCTGATTCAGGTCTCATTGACCAGTGTTGCTGTGTCTGGATGTGCCCTGTGTTTGAGGACACCATCCACCTCAGCACCCTGTAGAACAATGCCTGCCTTCAGCTCCTGCTGCTACTGACACTGGTCTGGGATGAGTCAAATTTCCTACACCTGGAATAGCACTGTCCTGGTTGACTCCCATTTCAGTCCCCTCTGCCACAGCATGGCATCTATGACTGCCCTGTGCTGGGAGGCTGCAGGATCTTCAGGGCTGGAAAAATTCCCAGCTCCTTTTTTCCAACAGCCTGCAACATGGCCAGTATGGCACACAAATACACCATTATGTGTCAGCTGGGCTTTGTCAAATGATGTGACACATTTGGTCAGAAGGATGTCAAAATACCTGCAGTGTACCCAGGAAAATATTCTTGGTGAGGACTGCTAGGTAGATGGAAAGTTCAGGTCTTCCATGTTATTTTTCTTATGACAGGATGGGCGGCACATCCAGCAGACAATGATAGATTGGATGAGTTCATGACTGATAAGAACTTTTGGTCAAAATGTTTCAGAGAAGTTGGCTTAAATAAAATAATCATGGCTGGGATTTCAGCACTGGAAACAAACCATTATGATGATTCTGTAATTTCTTTTGGTCACTGCTCTAGTGTTGTGCATTTGATTTGCTGTGAATTGCCTTAAAATAGACTTTAATAGCTATAGTTGTTAAAATACATGAGGTACGAATGTTTGGACAGGCATGATTAATTTTAATTCATAACAAAAATTACTGAAATTACAAACCCTCAATTTTACTCTGTTTTCCTGAGGAAAGTTTATACTGTCCATCTGTCTGTTGTTCCACTTTCTTGGCACCTTCTTTAACTTGCTGACCAGTTTCAACTAAATTTACTAGGTGGTTACACATCTTAAAGGTCTCAAAATCTTATGAGTTTTGCACAAATCATTAGTTGGGTACAGAAGACCAACCCTGTAATTATCTCAAAGAGGAAAAGGAAAAGAGACTTATGCCACCAGTGAGGAGGTTGAGGCCAGTCAATCCAGTCCAGTCACTAAGATGCATAAACTACCCATGACATTTGTCTCCTCTCCACCAGCTAACAAAATGGAGATGTATGTTTTATGCACTGAAAATATAAAGATGGATAAGAGGTGAGAGGGGCTGAGATGTGACGGAGCATGAAGAGCATGGGATCACAGTGCTTAAGGTGTTGAGGAGGCTGGTAGAAAGGGCAGTCAGGAGTTGGGAGTATGGAGGAGGTGATCAGTTTATTGCTAGGAAAAGAGAGCATGGCATGCAGTGTAGACAACTTTTGTAACCCAAGTACTTTTGTTCCAACAATGCTGAAAAAATTTCCACTTGCTCATAGTTCATTGCTTTTCTACGTTATGTCATGGCTATTTTCTTTCACAAATCATGACAAAGGGCCTGGTTTTATTTCTGTGGTTTGTTCTGTTTGGGTCTTTTTTTGTTTGCTTTGGTTTTATTTTGTTTTGTTTTGTTTTAATCTGGAGCGATCTTAATGACATTAAAATATTTGGAATAATTTGGGATTTGCATCAGTGGGAAAATTTTATTTCAGATGGACTCTCCTTTCTAAATCTGAAACCAAGGAGTATAAGCATGTAAAGCAGCCCAAAGCACTTTCAGATCAAGGCTTGAATAACTAGAAAGAAAAAATAAAAATATAGCTTGTATGAATGCATGTGTGTTCATAGCAGCTTACTCTTGGCTTTCACCCCTCAGAGGGACAGCAGGATCATCACAAGGGTATTCAAATCCATGGGTCTAGAGAGGATTCACTGAAGACCTGGCTGATGCCCCTGAGGGCTCCTGTCACCTGTGGTGATGAAGAGAGGCCACAGAGGACTGTAAGAAGGTTCATATTGTGCTCACCTTTAAGAAAGGCAAGAAGGAGATCTGAGGTAACCATAAGCCAGTCAAGCTCACCTCAGGTGCTAGAAGCATTTTGGAACATTTCCTCTTGAAGTCTACTCCCATGCATATGGGAGACCAGAAGACCATCAGGAGCAGCATGGATTTACATGTAGGACCAATCTGACTCTCTGCCACATGAAATAACTGCATGTAGACAACAGAAGAGTAACAAGATGTAAAACACTTTGATTTACAGATGCCCTCAACACCAGTGTTCTTCCTTGGTAGGTGAAGACACGTGTGTTGGGTGAATGAACAACCTGCTGGGCTGAAAGTTAACTCAACAGGCAAGCCCGAAGGGCTTGATCAGGCAATCAGGGGCTTGATCAGGATGTTGGAAAAGCAGAGCCACTGGTCAATAGCAGGGCAGAGCCTTTCAGTGCCTTCATCCACAGCCTGGGCTGTGACACGTGACAAGAGGGCTTGCTGTTCTCCCATAAAACTGAGCCTGGGGTGGGGCAGAGGCGCTGCTGACACAGTGAAGGCAGAGCTCCAGTGCAGAAGAACTTGAGAAAGCTGAAGACCATTCCAAGAGAAACCTCAGAGTGTCCAAGAGGAATAAATGCCAATTCCGTGCCAGGGACATTGGTACAGAGCAGGAACTTGCTGGCTGAGGAGCAGGCATGCTGGAAACTGCCTGGGAATTACAGTAGATGCCAAGTTCAATATGAGCCAGCAGTGTGTGGTTCTCTGCAAACAAGGTGGAAGAGCAGCTGTGTTATGTGGAGGGAGACAGATTGATGGACACTTTTACCCTGCCCTTCCTGGTCCTGGTGAGGCACTACTGGGAAATACAAACTTAGTGTTGCCACCTGCAAGCCAGGAGGGAAGCTGGAGAGGGTTCAGCAGGATGCAGTGAGGTCAGTGAGGAGCTTTGGACAGGTGGCCTGCAGGAAGAGTGGGAAAGAGCTGAACTTGTTCACTGTGATGAAGAGGAGACTGAGGGCAGGGCTAACAGAGCCTTCAGCTGACAGGGAGCTGCAAAGACCATCAAACCCAAACCCTCTCAGTAACACCAGAGAGTAAAGCAAGACACAGAGTCATAAACTGCAGTTTGAGATGCTGAGATTGAGCATGAAGAGAAATGCTCAGATTTAGAAAGGTATCATGTCACTGCAGCACATCTCCTAGTGAGGCTGTGGAGGCTCCTATTGGCCTAGATGCCCTCCAGAGGTTCCTTCCACCACATTTTTGAGACAATGTCATGGTTTGACACTGGCACAATGCCTATGCATTGTCCTGCTAACCACCTTCTGGCAAGCAAGGCTCAGGTATGGTGCTGTAAGGCAGAGCTCATCTTTGCAGCATCATGCGTCCTTATTTTTTGGTAATAATTTGTGTAGAAGGAAAGTGCCATGGTATAGTGGGAAACTGAGGCCCTGTAGAATACAAGATCCACATGAAGTTAAGTAATTTGACATGAAAGCCCATTCCAGAACTCAGACAACACTCCAGGTTTCCTAAGCCCCCTCAGGACCCTGACCATAAATATGCTTTGAGTCAGTCCTGCTAATGGGACATAGTCAGCTGAAATGTGGTCTGAATTAGCAAAAGTTAGCAAAAACAGGATGTTGCAAGTCTTAAGATGAAGCAAAAATTTTCTGCCTGTCTGCTGCAATATTTTTTCCAAGTGTTTGCAGCTTTGTGAGGTAAATTTGTGTTAGTTATAGCAGTAAGGTACATGAGAATGTAGCAGGCTGCTCTTCTGGATCAGGCAGGGGTTTACTGGGCTCACCACTCTGCCTTTGGGTCGAACCAGTACCAGCTGTGGGGTCTGGGGGCTCAGCCTGTCCCAGCACAGCAGACAGCAGGGCAGAAATATCCTGCACCAAAAGCCAAATCCAGCCCATCGTGGTTTAGAGTCACCAAAAGTCTGCTCCCCATTAACTGTTCAAAAGTCTGTATTTTTGTCCCCTGCTGTATTCTGTGGCATTAGGTTACCAAGGCTGATTTCTGCCTGGGTATTAAGATACCAAAGATGAGGCTTCATATTATTTTACACATTCTAGGACTAAAACAGTGAAAATAGAAGAGATGGCAAAAAGCAGGAGCTTTTAAGACTTCACTCACTTTAAAAATATCACTTGTGGCAGCTTAGAAGCTTGGGTTTAGATAAGATTACCCTAACTGCTTTTATTTCATTTAGGGGCAAAAGATTCAATGAGCTCCTCTTGTCTCAGTACTATTTCATTTTTGAAAATTGATCCTTATGCTAAAAGCATTTCATCTGGAAATATATTATTTTTTTCTTTCTGTGCAGGTAATTTCTGTGCCTACAGTACTGAGACAGTGAGCATTTTTGAAAATAATATAAAAACCTTACTTTTGAACAGATGATAGTGGGTAAATATGGCCACTCCTAAAAGGAATGTGCACCTGATACTGTGACTGGTATGTTTCTTTCCTTTTGCTCCCATTTCCCAAACGCAGATGTAAGGTTTGTGAAAGATGTTACCAGATGAGAGGTCTGTGTTTGAAGCCAGAGCTCTGCAGCTCAGGCAGCAGGAGCACAAACTTTTCTGCAAAGCTTTCTGCCCCAAATGCAGAGAATTTCAGGTACACATGCTGAGATGGATCTGGGGCTGGGAGGAGACACAGGATCCTGAACAACCTTTTAATAGTAAAACAATCTGTTTATATCCTACTATTTAGCATTAGGATTCAGGATGCTTTCCATCAGCTGTGGTTCCATGAAGTTCCTCAGCTTTCAGGGACCTTGTAGAGGAGTAAGTGCTGCACAGCTTCTACTCCACATGTCCTTTGCTTCTCTTTCATAACAAATAAACTCTGTTTTTCAGGACATGGTAAAAAGTCTTTCTGACAGCTCAGAGCTGATGCCAGTGCTTCCCAATTAAAAGATGTATTTCTGCAGCTCTAACATAACAAAAGCCTGACTTGGCCAAAAAGAATATCAGCCCCTGTGACAGGACAGTGTACACGAATGTAAACACATGTAATGTTCTGAAACATTACAAATGTAATGTTCTGAAAAGAACAATAAATAGTTAAATAATAGATGGTCACTTGTAACACTGAAAGACAAAATTTTGCAAACAAATAGAAAATAACACTGGATAGGGTGTCAGAAAATAACACTGGATAGGGTGTCACAGACACAGAACAGTTTTAAGTCCCAGTGAGGTCATGAGAATGTGTGAGAACTTCTATACTAAATGCATATCTTTCTGCTTTTAGAAAATTACAGGTAATGCTTCAATAGAAATCCGGATGTGCTCCAGAGAAAGGAAATTTCCTACTTTAAAGCCTCCCCAAATTCTGAATTGTAATGAAAATCTGGACTCCTTACCATCACAGGTAATCTTAAATCACTACTTCAACAGTTTCTGAGATTCTGCACTGTCCTGGGGAAAAAAAAGGGAATGAGAATAGAAAGTTGGGGCAGGAAATATATCTCATGTTCCTCAAAACTTTGCAGAAAGCAAAATAAATGAGCAAAGCCTTTTTCCAGCGGCATTCTTGGCATGTGTCTGCTTTGCAGACAGCCTGAATTTCCAACAGTGATCATTTTATTTTGCTTGAACACAGCATGCCATTTCACATTTCTTAACTGGCCTGCAATTTCCTCAGCCAGGTTCCTAGTTCACAGCAAAGCCTCTGAGCAGAGGCAATGCTGACCCAGGGCACCAAACCAGTGAAAAGGGAGAAGACTGGCAGGAGGGTGACACCGACACCAACATGGTCAGAAGGATTAAGAGTGAAGCCTTTCCATTCTGTCAACATTTCTGTCCAACAAGAACACAAATTCAAATTCTCTCACATGAATGCCATATATAAAGTCCATAAAATCCATACCTCCCTAAGTCTAGCTCTAAGGCTTAGCCTTGCTGTATCTGCAAAACATGGAGAGCTGAACATGACTAAGCACATTACAGTGACTGCTTCCCTTCTGCTGCTTCTGTGCTTCACTTCCTTATCACTATTCACTATCACCCTATCACTTTCAGTCCCAACTGAAAAAAAAAAGAAAAAAAAAAAGAAAAAGAATACACCAGGTACAGTCCGTTAAATAAGAGAAGTCTTTTCCTCGTGCATTTTTGCTTGACTTCTGTACCTTCAACCCAATGCTTCACCTGCTTGGATTCTTTCCTGAGAAACCCCTGAGCTCAATATTGCATTTTTCCAGTACATAACCTTCACTAAACGGTTCAAAGCAATATATAATATTACAAGTAGCTATTTCCAGTGCCAGTAAGGTGTGACACATGGTTTTTCTGCTGCCATCAGTAATGTCTGGGTTTCTTGGGAGCTGTGATGTCAGGCTGCCATCTAGTGAGCTGAGGGCAGCTTGGGGAGCTGGGAGCAGGAGGTGTGCATGCTAGTGTCCAGAGCCCAGGTTTAAAAGGATTTGATTACTTTTAAATAGAACTGCTTATTTTGAATCCAAGGTCATGCTAGAAGTTGGAAGCAAGAACAATGTGTCACTGTCATATTTTCCGGAAAAATCCCTTTGCCAGGATTTCTTCTCCTGGGAAGCTGAGAAGCCTCAGAGAAGAATGAAAACAGTGATTATCTGATTGCTTCTCTTGTGTTTTGCTGCTTTGGAATGAGGTTGGAGATTGTTTATCCAACAGGTGGTTGAATTGTTTTTACTCAATGACCAATCGGTGCCAAGCTGTGTCGGGACTCTGAGGAGTCAGTCACGCGTTTTTCATTAGTATCTTGTTAAGCCTTCTGTCTGTATCCTTTCTCTATTGTTTTGTATAGTTTTAATATAGCATTCTTTAACAGAATATCATAAAATAATAAATTAGCCTTCTAAGAACATGGAGTCAGATTCATCATTCCTCCTTCGTCCTGGGGACCCAACAAATACCACAAACAGTGAACACAGGTGTTCATGATGTACTGTTGGTCTATTGTGCACATGCAGATGTTTTCAAGTCAAATAATATTATCTCCAGTAATTATAAATGCAAATTTCCTTCCTCCCTATGCAAGATATTCACTTTTCTTACCTAAATACCTGCCAAGTTTTATCAATGCTTCAAAGCTGCATGATAGAATTAATCTTGATTTTGATAGCTTCCCAACATAAATAATTTGAGGACAATTCAGTTACTGAAGCAATTCAGTAATTATTAATTGATGGGATTAGAAACCAGATGACTTGACCTGATGACTGGCAGATTTTCTATCTCTTATTGTTATCTAGCTATACCTTCATCTATCATATGAAGGTACAGCTAGATGCCTCAACTTGGTTTTGTTTTTAGACTTTAAAGATGCTACGGACATTTAATCTCTATTCATTCAGTGCTAACTAACTCAAACTGGATCCAACCGGTGCTTATAGCAATTCATATTGGTACCTCCAGCAGCAGAATATTGCATTGGTTGTTTTGGTTTTTTTTACATTTATTCCAAGCTAACACTCTGTATAATGTACTGAAGTGAGGAGCATGCCCTCAGTGCAGGTTATAAGCCCTGTGTTGAGAGGCATGACTGTTCCAGAGGACATTTCTCAAGTTCCTTTGATGGCCTTTGAAAAAATCCTGTTGTGGTTATTTAAGGAACAACAAAAGGTGCAGAGAAGTTTATAGACTCAGAACTCAGTGACCCCAAGACAAAGGAGAGGTCCTGCTGCTACTTCAAGGCAAGGTGGGGAGAACAATGGGGCCAGGCTGTTCTTCAAGGTGTGCAGTTTTAGGATGAGTGCCCACAGAGTCAATGGGCAATATAGGAAATTCCATCTAAATCAGATAATGTTTTTCTCCTTAACACTGTTCAAACACAAGCAGTTTTCCAAGGGAGGTTGTGGATATTCAAAGTGATTCCCTGAGCAACCTGGTTTCAGCCACTGTTGGACACGGGGACCTCCAGGGCTTCCTTCCAACCCAAGATACTCCAAGAATTCATGAAAACAATCTCTAAGGAGAATTTGCAAACACCACATATTTGGCATTAACATAAACATTTTAGATGGCAAATTACTTGTATATTTTTATTTTGTGTGAGAATGCCATGAAGTGGTGACTCTTTTGCCTTTCCTCTTTTTGTTTCTGTTAAATGACATTTTCCTCACAGGTGGAAACTGTGAGCTCCAGGGAGGTTTCAGTTATTGCAAGTAACACTCAAATCCTCACCTCCATGACAGGCCAACTGACCTGACAGAAGATCGCTGCTGCAGATTATGAAAAAGCCAAATGTTTCAGAAGACTTTCAGGTGAGTCTTATTAGGATGAAAATAAGACTTGTAGGGCTGAATATTTGCGATATCAATTCGGTTCCCCCCTCTACCAGCAGAAAAGACACTGTTCTATCTCTTAACTGTACATAACACTGCAAACAAATGCATTAATTTTGTCATTTAGCAGAGTTATTTAAGCATCCTTGAGCATGTACTTGTGGAATCACCCTTGGGTCTGTTCTCAGAGCTGAGTGTAACCTTATCAGCTGTTTAGATGTACATCAGAAATTTTAATGTTTATGTTAATAATTATATCTCTACTAACTAAATTAATAAAAATGTGTCTTTATGAAACCTATTGGCACAAAGTTTGTGCTCCCTTGAATGCCTTCTTTTACTTTTTTACTTTGTTGTGTACTTTCAAGCAATGCTTGTTAAGTGTTCTTTGCCCATTCAGTGTATAGCACATGGGGTGATTTACTCAACCACATCTGAATATTGCCTTTTTTCTGCTTGATTCAGGCATCTGTGGCAGTAACAGAATTCATCCACAATAATCTTGTCAGTGCTACAACCAGGTAACTTGAGCTTTGCCATTTTCTTTAGATGTAAGTCAACAGCATTTCCCCTTCTGGTTCAGGATGAAAGCAGTTCATGAACAAGTTAAAATATGTTTGCCATTCAACTCCAATGTGCAATTCGCAATTTACACTGATGTAAGCATTGCTGGATTCTTCTGCTTTAGAGAAAAGATGGGGATAGGAAATGAGGAGCACTATCCACTGGAGAACCAAATCAGACAGGAAGCTCAGAAACTGAACCTGTAGCTGTATAACAACAAATAATGATAACTTTTATCCCACTCATTATTTTGATGCAGCCTCATGAGAGCAATGGAGGAATTTTCTTTCACTGGTAACATCTCACAGCCCAATGCTGCAATCCAGTCTGCTCCACTGAAATTAAGCTCCTCTGTGATTCTGTTTTTGGCACAGAGAAGTAAGTCCTGTGTGTTGTTGGATTTAGCTTGACAGAATGAACACATTTATGAATCATAAATCCTAACTCATACACTGCTAATTGTTGCAGATACAGCACTGGGAAAGTATCAGTCAACAGAACCAGAAATACAGGAAAATGCTCCTGGGCTTACTGGTGACCTCAGTACTGAAGTTCAGATACTGTTCAACATTTTAAGTAAGCCCTTTCTTCTTTTGAAAACTGCAGCTGGGAAAACTTTTAATGAATATTCACTGAAAATCTCCTTTGGGGGAAAAAACCCCTTAGCTGGTTGGTTTTCATGCATGCTGATGCCTGGTCCAAGAAATGCAAACATCAAATGAGCTGGAGAATCTTATTTATAGAAGAATGCAAATGTACATGTAATGGCCAGAATACTTATGATGTCTGTGACTTTTTCAGTTGTTTTATTTTCTAAAATTGAGGATGTGTTGAGTCTTTAACCGTAACTCTACAAACACTGAGATCAAGAACAAGTATATACTTTGCCTGAAATCTGAAGACATGAACCATTTCAACTAAAATTCCTACTGCTGTCAGGTGTCAGTCAGGACATCCACATTCCAACACCTGCAAATTGCATTACTCACTTGGAATTTTTCCAGATGTCCATTACTTACATTCTGCAGTGCTTGGAGGATAAGTTGGAATTGACCAGGAGAAAAAGAAAAAAAAAAAACTATAGTTCTTCAAATATGTGCATTTCTCTGTCATCACAAGAGTTTCACACTGGGCACCTGAAACCAGCAGACTTGTCCTCAATCTCTCAGTGTAGTGTCAGTAACACTGAGAAATCACAGCAGTATAACAAAGGTGAGGTTAGTAGAGCACTTAGACATCATAATGATGAACATCATTTGAATACCAGCCCATAGGGAAATGAATAATTCAGTTCTCTCACCAGCGTTAGAAAAAGATGTGAAGTAATAAACCAAGTAACCTCACACGCCCAGCACTGACAACAAAAATCAATTAATAACTCATTAACTGGTCACTGCCATTTCTGTTCACTGTTTCAGAAAACAACACTGTGGAAAAACAGTATAATCATGTAATCAAAGCCTTTATCATCATGCCAGTATAACATAATACTCCCCTCAAGGCAGATAGGTATTGAATGCAGTTTGTCTTAAAAGAAGTCCCAACAGATTTCTTCAATATTAAGTGCACATTTGTGATATTTTGTAGAAATACAGTTACACTAGTCTCACCTGATGATCAGACTAGAGAGAGATCAAATCAGTCTCTCTTGATCTTAAGTCAAAAGCATAACACCAATAACAAAGCTTATTATATAATCTAGGATTTTGCTTCCTCGCTTAAGCTACAATTCAGATGAGTGATTTAAATCACATAGATTAACTCTAATTTGGTAGAAGTGTGAAAGAAACCCCATCCAGTCAAAAAGTGAGATCTGAGGGTAAAAATTCAGGCAGTCTCTTATCTTCTGACTTTGCACTAACAGTAAATGTCTCTGGTGTGGCTACTTCTTATTTAGTGTTATTAAAAGTCTGGCCATTTGGACTGTGTGCATATATTAGGATTTAGGATATTATTTTTCTCATTCGCCAGTATTTTCCCCCAGAAATGATATTAAGAGAAGGGTAATAATTATTTTCACACTCCACCTCAGCAAAAATTGAAGGTCTCTCTTAACATTCATAGGAATAGCAGGTGTTCTCAATTACTTATATGGATTCTGAGAAAAATCTGTAAATGCTCAATGTGTGCATGAGCATAGTGCAGGCTTCTTGTGTTTAGATCAAGTGGCATAGAAAATATTCTTCAGCTTCTGTATGTAACAGCTGATACTGCTGACTCTGTGCTGCTAAACTAGGACATTTGTGAGCAAAAGTGTATTCCATAAAATGCCATAGGAATACCAGAGGGGATTTGTCTTGGGGTGCATTAGTCCTATATCAAGAATGAAAAAAACCAGGTTTATGGAGGACAGTCTTTCTCTCCAGAAGACAGCCAAAATTTTGGAAAACAAGAAAAAAGTCAACATGATGGGCACAGGTCAATACACATATTAATGTGGGAAATGTTCATTTTTCATGCTATCTTTTAACTCCTACTTCCAGATAAAACCATTTTGTCCTTTGACTTCCTCCACCAGGAACTGATGCCAGATGTTACTGCTTTCCTGCAAATAATGATCTTATGTGAGTGTTATGTCCATTTGCCAACCCCCCTGAATTTTTAGATGATATGTATTCAAATTTTGCATGGTTTCTCCAGAAAACAGTAATTGGCTTCTTCTTGCAATATTTAACAAAGTTTTTAAGCTCACATACATATGACAGATCATCATAGAACCATACAGCTAAGTGATCCAAGAAATCTGTCATTTCTAAGGAAATTACTGTCGGATTTTGGGTGCTGTTTAGATGGTCTGGGAAAAGCCCAAAGATGGCCTTGGGCCCCCGGGTTCGAAAGGACGAGAGGAAGCTTCAGATTTGTTCTCGGTCTCGGTGTTTATTAAATGCTTATCTAAAAGATTTTCTCTTGGCCTGACAGAGTTCTGCTCAGCAGTCAGCCATGGGCACACACTGAGAGCCCCTGGGGCGGCCACCTATCTTTATACCCGGAGTTACGTATACAATATTTATCATTTTTCTCCAATACCCTCTACCCTTATTAACCAGTGTTCCCCTAGTAAGGTCCAATCCCGGAGTGCCAACATCACCACAGAAGATGGAGGCCTAGAGGAAGAAGAAGAAGGAGAAGGGCACGCCCCAATTCCTCCATCTTACCTCTCTAGACCCCCCTGTACAGGGATCTTAAACCCTGTATCTCACACTCCAATTAACTTATCCCTTCACCATTCACCCCGGTGAAATCCTCCTGTCCTCATACTGATGTCATCTCCCATGTGGGATCAAAGTCCAGCCACCAGACATTTCTGGCAACATTCCAGGACTCCCGAGCCCCCCAGGTGTAGTCTGGTTCACCCTGCGCCCCAGTTCTGAGAGACTGAGATCCCACATCTCCCCCTTCTGTTTGCACCAAAAAGATCTTTTTCGCCATCCGATTCATTGCATGTTTTAAACATGCAAATATGCATGGGACAACAAGTATGAGGACTAGGAGAACTATTAAAACATAAAACCCTATCTTTAAGATTCCTCTCCAAATGGGAGAGATGTCAAAGAATTCTGCCAGTTGATCGATCCATGATCCTGTGATCTCGCCAAGCTTATTTATGCTGTCCTTTATATTTTTGATATTTTCATGAATTGACTTTGAATGATCTGAGAGATTCATGCAGCACATCCCTTCGAACTCTTCACACCCATGTCCATGAGCGAGCAATAGATAATCGATTGCCGCTCTGTTTTGAAGAGTCGCCTGTCTCACACTGCTGACGTCTTTTAACATGTCATCCAATGTGACAGACACAGACCGCGCATGTTTGCTCAACCAACAACCCATGCGGTCGATCTGAGTCAAGGCCACCCCCGATGCTGTCTGAGGTGAGAAGATTGCTGTAGCAATACTCGTTTTCTTGTCCCAAGAAAACATTTCATCATTGCAATCTGCCGCATATTGCTGTATTGATCTTTTTTCTCTGTGCCTTTCCTCTCTTAACATGTTCAAATCAGGCGATAGCATTGAAATTTCCCCAATGCTGCATGGACCTCCCGTGGCATTAGCAGGAATGCCGTGCCAAATTCTGTCCCCGCAAATTAAGAACAGACCCCGCGGCAATTGCACCGGAACTTGGATCGATCCTTTGGTAGTTCTCTTTGTATATTTACACCAAGCTGAGGCATTCTTATAAAATTCATTAGTGGGAGTCAAATCAATAGTTTTCACCTTTGTGACTTTCGGAGCTTCAAACTGCATGCAGAGTCTCATTGTCATGGACCCAAAAATCTCCAATTCCTGAGGTTCTGTAGAAGCCACAGGAAGCAGGTGTGTCCAAGCACACCACTCTTTTATAGGATTTTTAATGACCTGCGAAATGTTAATTGCAGGGTGCCCTGGAACTGGCCATTCGTCCACTGGCAATCCAACCATGCATGCTGAAAACGGTTTACCTGGTCTTGAATGTGTCAGGCAGATACTATCTAAATTCGCTGCCCGAGCTAAAGCCTCCCATACATTTTGCCTTGGTTGACTAACAGGTAAATCTCCCCCACTGCTTACTGCAATGAATGAAAGAACGATGCACATAAGCATCGTGAAACCCATTGCTTCGCTTTTGTGTGAAAACCCCCCAAGGTCCTTAGTTTCTTTTTATTTCTCTTCTGGGTCGTTTTTCGCAGCCCGAGTCTCGACTTCTGTCTGAGTACTCGTCTCTTTGTTTCTCGGATCAGCGTTTTCGTGCTCTCGCGTTCGGAATGGCTTCACATGCCGCACCGACACCCACTTCAGACCTCGATCTGTGGAAATACAAGCGAAACCCTTTCCCCAAGAGATTAGTTTGAAAGGACCCTCTATTTGACCTGTTTCTGGGTTTCTGATCAAAACTAAAGGATTTTCCCTTAGCTTTGCCTGTGTGTTGTTTAGAAAATGTCTCACGATCGGTGGATCAGGTTCCGAGGATGGATAATCCCTTTGTTGTGTTAACATTGTCTTCTTCGGGGTGCTTTTCTTTTTATATATTGTTGGAAAAAATTGCTGCATTGTTGCAGTCTCGCCACGAGATGGCGCTGTGGCTCCGCTGAGCCGACCCGGCATGTCGTGCACTTCTGCCCTCCTGCCACTAGGTGGCGCTGTCACCGGCCTCCCTGGCTCAGATGACGGAGCGATCTCGACTGCCCCACTTCCTCTTCCGGCTCGGCGTCCCCCGTGAGGGGAAGGGACTGGGACTCCGAGGGTTTGAACCAAAGGCACCAGGTCTGAAAACGGTGTGGAGCCCCGGGACGTAGAATCCCTAACACGGCCCCTCCTCACCCGCGACGTCACAGGGGACCGGGCTCGGGTCCGCCCGCGCCCTACTTTCTGCGCATGCGTGCTCTCCGAGCTGCTCCCTGTGTCCCCCAAGCTGACGCCATCGTCTCCCCCCTGTCCCACCTCCGAGGTTCCCGCCCCTCGGTCTGTCCCAGAGTCCAACCCCTCCTCCTCTGACGTTGTGTTCACTTCTCCCGCCAGCACTCCGGCTCTCCCCGCGATTCGAGCTGACCGTCGCACCGGCTCTGACGTCACAACCGCGCGCCTCCTGCGTCTCACCGCGGCGGCCCTCTGAGCCTGCACATTTTCCCTCAGCCCGCCTTCCGCGTTCGCCGCTCCCGCGCCCGTGTGTGAGTCTACACCCCGGTTTTTGCGAGTTTCGCCCTCCGCGCGCGTCTCCTCATCTTCACCCGCGCTGCCCGCGTTTGCCGCCGCCGCGTCGCTGCTTTCACCGCGAACAGGCCCCCCCCCCGATCCCTTATCTTCCTGCTCCCCCCCTTCCGCTCCTGACTCCTCCACACTCTCTGGAGTTTCAGGACGCCCTTGGGGTTTGTTGCATTTTTTGATCGGGGGTTTTAATATTTTTTCCTGCTCTCTTTTTTCGAGAGCCCTTTCCCCCTGGCTTTTTAAAGCCAGAGCAATTTTTTTCCCGGAGCTCCGCTGCTCCGCCCCCTTCTCTGAGGGTACCGCAGCTTCTCGCTGCTTTTCCAGTCTTTTAGACTGCACTGAAATACCTTGTAACATGATTCTTGCCGGCGAGAGTAGCTTTAACGCTGTCTCATCTTTTTTTGTTGCTAAAATATATAAATGCCTATTAATTTCTTGCCAAAACCCCACTTCGAACAACAAATATGTCTCCGCAAGTGGATAATTAAGCCTTGCCCATAATAACAGCTGTTTTAATTCTTTCTTTGGGATCCCTTCTGTATATAATTCTGCAACACTTTGTAAGGTGGATAAGATTTCCCGTTGTTCCTGGGAGAGTGTGGCCCCCATAATATTATTTTGGCCTTCTTACCGAATCTGTCGTCAGAGTGGTCTGAAAGCCCTCAGTCTCCGTCCAGCGGGTCACGAGGGATGGATCCAGAGGCGCCTTTCTGGTCCCAGTCCAGGCCGCTCTGCTACGAACTGTCTTCAGCAGAAGCTGAGAGATGGGATTCTCAGTGACTGCTGATTTTTGCAGCTTCTCCCAGCCGGTTTTTTCTTTTTCTTCTTTCTTTCTTCAGGCTTCCCTCCTCTGGAGTTATCAGTCCTGTCCTCTTGGCTCTTCAGCTCTTCAGGGCTTTCCCCCCCCCGAAAGGTTTGGTGGGAGATAGCCCACCCAGGGACGCCAGTTGTCGGATTTTGGGTGCTGTTTAGATGGTCTGGGAAAAGCCCAAAGATGGCCTTGGGCCCCCGGGTTCGAAAGGACGAGAGGAAGCTTCAGATTTGTTCTCGGTCTCGGTGTTTATTAAATGCTTATCTAAAAGATTTTCTCTTGGCCTGACAGAGTTCTGCTCAGCAGTCAGCCATGGGCACACACTGAGAGCCCCTGGGGCGGCCACCTATCTTTATACCCGGAGTTACGTATACAATATTTATCATTTTTCTCCAATACCCTCTACCCTTATTAACCAGTGTTCCCCTAGTAAGGTCCAATCCCGGAGTGCCAACATCACCACAGAAGATGGAGGCCTAGAGGAAGAAGAAGAAGGAGAAGGGCACGCCCCAATTCCTCCATCTTACCTCTCTAGACCCCCCTGTACAGGGATCTTAAACCCTGTATCTCACACTCCAATTAACTTATCCCTTCACCATTCACCCCGGTGAAATCCTCCTGTCCTCATACTGATGTCATCTCCCATGTGGGATCAAAGTCCAGCCACCAGACATTTCTGGCAACATTCCAGGACTCCCAAGCCCCCCAGGGGTTGTCTGGTTCACCCTGCGCCCCAGTTCTGAGAGACTGAGATCCCACAAATTACTGAAACTTTTTTACTCCTATATTTCTTCATAATTTTTAATTGAACTATTGAATACCATGAATGATTGTGTTCACTTCTTATTTGCACACTAAGCTGTTTGTTGCTCATTAAAAGTAGTTCTAATTGCAGTACCCTGCAGAAGTATGTTTGAAAATGTCTGCATGCCATTTGGTGTGTGAGTGCATGAGCACCACTGTGCTGCAGCAGGGAGGGAAGGGCCACTCCATTTATCATTGTTTGCTTCCTATTCCAGTGTGGATTCAGCTCTGGTTGGCAGAAACAGTGCTACCAAAACCTGAAAGCTGTTTTTTGGCTTACACATAATTCAACTGGCAGTGCTTTAAAGCTTACTCAGTGGAAGCCTGAATCCTGATCCTTGGATAATTCACAGGAATTGGTACTTTCACTGGCAATCTTGTCTGAGAAAGGCACATAAAGTAAGTTTAAAATGCCAAATTATGCTGTTATTGATATAATTCACAAGGTTTATGAAACCCATATATTGCTTAGTAGCTGTCAGCTCCCCTTTCAAAATCAAATCACAATTCACACTGTTTGCTGGTGCCTATCTCTATGTCTCTGTAGCCACTTTTTCTCCTTGCCATCCCCATCCCTGGGGGATGAGCTGAGCTGCAGCTGTGTGCTCATGCCTGTGTCTTTTGGGATTACACTGTAAACCATGCAGGTGTAATCACCACTAATTTTGCTGTTCTGATGGTAGGGCATTGTCCTTTCTTCAGTGGGAAGAGTCTGAGGCTGTTTAATTATTTTTGTTTGGTTGATTGTTTCTAACTCTAAGATCAGCATGGCAACACAAGGGCATAGGTGCACTCAAGATAGAATGCACAGGAGTTTAGAGTGTCCCCATGTACTTGTTTCTGCCCTGTGGCACATCTGGCAAATTGGGCAAGCTGTGCCCGAGCTGCTGAATAGCCAAATGTGTTGGCACGTCCAGGCTCCCTCTGACAGGACCTGTGCCTGTGCCCAGCTGCTGCTGCAGCTCCTCAGCAGGGAAGGGCTGGCCTGATTCATTCCCCTGCTCAGCCTTTGCAGCCTCCAGGTCTGCAGCTCCCAGATGAGGGGTTGTCCAAAGGCTGAAGTGTCCCCAGGTGGACAGCAGAGCTTCCTGGAGTCTGGGCTAGCTGTGGCACTGCCTTGTGCTGGGTAAATAACTCAGAGGATTTAGCATTAACTATTCCCTCTGCTTATATGTTTATAAAAGCCCTGCTCTGTAAATATCAAGCATTCAACCATAAAGTTTTATACATTGCCCTCCTTTACCAACAAGACTATTTAGGAATGACTGCCTGGTTCTGATGTTTGTTATTCCTTCAATATTTATTTCAGCTTCTCTAAACAAAACACACCCTGGATAAAATCACATATTGTGGTCACTAATTTCAGTGTGCCAGCATTTCAGAGTGCATTTTTACTGTCTTCACAGAACAGCATTTCCAAATTTATACTATTTACTTGGTTCTGAATTTCCCTTTGTGTTATGCATGTCCTTTTTGCATAAACTGACTATATTCTAAATAAGATTCCCATCTGTTTATGCAAAGGCAGCAGCATTTTCTGTTTCACTGAATACATTTACATTTACTTGCTGCTTTATTGTCACTATACAATCATAGACTGGTTTCAATTTATAATTATTTGTGCTATCTTACCTTAGACCAAGAAGTCAAAATTCAGAATGCTCACCAGTATGAAAAGCTAAAAGCTGCTTAGTAAAGTCTGTGTCACCTTGCATTTTACTATGAATAATTTAATCTGCTATTTTGATAAATATTTGATTAGTATTGTTAAATCTCTTGTTGGTGTTTTTCATAAGCTTCTCTAGCTTTGGAGTCTAGAAAAATTCTGTGGGACCTAAAAATTCTGGCAATAATCATAACTTTACTGAAACATTCTTGTTCCTATGTGCAACCAGAAACAGAAACTTTAAAAGAAATATATCTCATCTCCTATAACTGATACAATTGGTTTTCTAGGCATTTTGGATAAAATATAAATATGAAAAGCTTTTGGATTGTATTTCTTATATTGGTGCTGGATTGTCCATGGCTGATCTGGTTATTATTATTATCATTTTGTTTCAAATACTCACTATGTAAGAAGGAAGCTGCAAGTATTTTACACTAAGTTACAACATTTTGTTCTGTATGTAATTTGAGGAAAACAATTTAAAGCAGCCAGTTTAGAACATACTGCAATATTATTAATTAGCAAATACTATTTTCAAAAATAGCTAAACCACACTGCATGGCTTGGGACTTGCTGACACCTCTGTTACTCCCCTGGTCAGGCACAGACAACACAGACCCAGAGTACACAGGTCTGTGATACACATTGAGCTTTTCAGCTCACTATCTCAATTCTAGGCTTTAAAAATGTGTCACAGTGTTCCATCAGCAGTGTGACCTCCCCCCATACTCTGGTATTACAATGTGTTAACAGCTATCTCTTTTCCTAGGCAGTAGCTAGCTTGTGCTACTGTTTAATTGTGAACAACTTAATACAAACACAATTGCAGCAAATTTTCTTGATGGACATGCCTGTGATTAATGTTGTCCTGTGAATCCCCTCTGAACAATAAGGGAAGTCATGCCAGCAGAGCAGCTGAAGTTATTTATATTGAAGTTATATTAATGCCTGTTTCTCATCCTGCTTGCACTAATGCAGATTTGAAGCAATTCCATCAAGGTTCATATTTTTAAGACTGTAGGAGCTTCCAGCCTCTGCCTTTTAAATGTATTTATTTATGATAATGTTATATATATATATATATATATATATATAAAATATTAAAAAAACCCACATTTATATATATGTGTACATACACTATATATAATGCCAAGGGAGGTGGTGGAATCACTGTTCCCAGAGGTGTTTAAGGAAAGAGAGGACATGGCACTCAGTGCCAGGGTCCAGCTGACATGGTGGTGTTTGGTCATAGGTTGGACTCAATGATCTTGGAAGCTTTTTCCAACCTAATGGGTTCTGTGATTCAGAGATAGGACAAAGTTTGGAAGTAGAGGTTTATTATTCTATTGAAGTCTGGAGAATGGTTAGAAATACTTGCTTTATGCTAACTTGCTTCTTAACACTGATGAAAAAGATCCCAAAAAGAGCAGAAAGAGAAAAAAATACATCCCAAATTGCTGTCAGTCAAGGCCTAGTCCTAAAAGTGCTGGATATTCTCTGTTCTAGTCAAAGTCAGACAAAACTAATGGATATGTTAAGCTGTCTGAGAGTAATGTTGGTGTGATTCTGCAAATAACTGTTTTAGTTTCTCTCTGTATTAAAGTTTCTCCTCTCTAGCTTGCTTTTAATATAAATGAAAATGAGAAACTATTTGAGAATTTTTCTCATTTTTCTCTTCTTTTTTTCTCCTAAACATATTTCTAACAATAGGAAAACTCAAAACTTATCTGTAAAGTGGATGTTAGTGAGTCTCTGCTTTTCTATGGTCGTTTTTAACATCATCTTCATCTCTGGAATTGAAAACCAAACTTTCAGAAAGTGCAGCAACGGTACCACCAGATGCTACCAGCAATACCTTCCTTATGATGCCACCAGCACCACCTTACCTCTGACAGGGTGGATACTCCCACAGACTCCTGGTGCACAGCTGTGGCTGTCCTCCTGCACTATTTCTTGTTGGCAGCATTCCTGTGGTCAGCACTCAGCTCTGCACTGCTGTGCTTATTGCTGCTCAGAGCCACAAAGCCACTGCCTGGATGTTTCCTTGTAACCATGTCATTAATCAGATGGGGTAAGATTTGAAGTTGTCCATGTGGCAATTTTTACAGTACAGAGTACATTCAGGGAGAGTTGTAAAGATAGGAGAGCAGCAGAGAGCAAGTAGAATCAGTGTCTCTGTCTCTGGGTTAGTGCCACGTGATTTAATAATCTCCTTTTCCTGCTCACATTACTGGTATAACCTGAGCTTGTTCTCATTGACCTGATAAAACACTGAAACTGATAGCCTGGCCACTGGCACAGCAGCACAGGCCTGTTAAGTGCAGGAGAAACTTTCACAGTAATCAAGCATTCAACAATCTGCTTCTGCCAACTAAATAAAAAAATCTTTTCATCATGGTGATCACATATATGGACTTAAATTCCTCATTTAGTGATTCCCAGCCAGAGTTTTGAATACATCCAAAAGCAATGAGTGCCTGATATTATTTTTCATACATTATTTTTTATACATTATTTATTAATAAGCAAAGAACACATTCTGAAGGCAGTACAGCAGTTAGAAACAACACTGCAAACTGAAAGGAAACTTTCAGAGAATGTTTCAGAGAATGTTTCATTTTCTCTTTCGGAGAACTTACCCAGACAATGGGAAAATTCAGACAGATACTGACAAGGTAAAGTGAAAATCTCAGCCTGTTTCAAGAAACTTTTCTAATACACTGTGCAGGGGCACCAGTATTTTCCATGTTGTGCATTCAGCTTTTGAATTGTATTGCTTCTGATGGCACCCACCAAGCATTTCAGCCCTTACTGTTCTATTATTATGTCTTGCATTTGTAGAGGCAATTCCTTGGAAACATTTGGAATTTGGACTGCACATGCAAACTAGAAAAAGTGCAGCAAATGCTGCCTGGCTACGTGGCACTGTGATCCCTCCCTATGTATTTGAACGACAGCCCAGCATTATGTTCTTCTGTGTGTCCTGTGACAAGTTACACACGTCCAAACCACAATGACTCTGACTCACTGCTTTTGGATCTATTTTGAGACCACAGGCAGTGCATGGCAATCTGCAAGGTCTCTACTAGGGATGAAGAAGGAAAAGACTTTCAGGAGCATGTTTATTACCAGAATAAAAAGTTTTGCATAAGGTTCCTCCCCATGAGATGTGCTGCCTAGCGTGAACTGGCAGGCAGGAGATGCGGAAGACAAGAAGTGAAGCAAAGGGATTGAGGAGGCAAACCTGACAGCCAAGCTTCTTGCAGGGCAACAGTTACACTCTGCATAAATCTGGCAAGAAATGCAAAGGTGTTTGATACAATATTTTCCTAAATTAATTTCTCTCTGCTGACCAGAACGTAGGATTGCACAGTTGTGATAAGGGAGCCCACTACAGCCGAGTAGGGGCTTGCTCTGTCACCACAGGTGCTGGCTCAGGAAGCTCTGCTGAAGTTGTTTGCTTGCAAAAATCAGCAAGTTATGGCTATGAGCTGTCCTCTGAAAAATAATGCTCACAACCCTCAGTCCTGCCTCTTGTCTAGGCTACAGAAAACCCCTTTAACTTAGTACAAGGCAGGTGAAAGATAGAACTTAAAATCTATGGAGTTTAGGAGGCAATAAACTGTGTGGAAAGGAGGTATGCCTGTGCAACCAAACAATAAATTGCTAATGTCCCGTTTATTAATTAGGCATTCCTGCCACAGTATGCAATAACACTTGCAGCTACTGACAGAGAATGAAAAGCTCTAAACTACCGACAGGAAGAATTTTAAGTCCACATATTATCACAACACTTGCTATCCTATACCTTTTGTGATGGCTTATTATTAATACAATTCTAGATGTATTGCTGTGCCCTGCATTGCCAAGCAAATAGTATTCTATTTGCCATCTGTGTGGCAGTTGCCTTCTGTTAATTGGGCAGTTTTCCTTATCTCTTCCACACCCAATCCTCCCTCTGGGGGGACACCTGCTGATAACAGGCTATTGAATGTCACTGCATGACTGATAAGAACTATAACATCCCATTGTGAGATGCTCCACCCAGAGGGAGGAGCCAAGCATTCCTACCCAGATATAATCTGGAGATTCTGGAGCACCAGCACAGCTTCTCCACTGGATTCCCAGAGAAGCAGATGCCTCTTCCACTGGATCTTCATAGGAACACTGCACCCTTTTCTACAGGATCACTGTTCCAGCAGAACCACACCTGACACTCCAGCAGGACTGCAGCCACAATTCCAACTGGACTGCTACCAACACCCTGACCCACAGGGTGTCAGGTTGTGTTCTGACTCTGTCAGTGTTGTTTTACTTTACTGCATTGTTTATTTTATATTTTTATTTTCTTCCCTAATAAAGAACTGTTATTCCTGCTCCCATATTTTTTTGCCTGAGAGCACCTTAATTTAAAATTTATAGCAATTTGGAGGGAGGAGGTTTACATTTTCCATTTCAGGGGAGGCACCTGCCTTCCTTAGCAGACACCTGTCTTTCCAAACCAAGACATGTTGCTTTACTATTTTGTACTTCTAAGTACTCAAAAGAAATAAAACTCTTCACTCAACCTAGATATTCATTAGAAAGAAACACATTTTCTCCTTACTAAGGATCTAGGGTACTGGATCTACATCTGCCTTGAATCCTCCTGCACGACTGTGCAGTCCTCTGTGAATTGAAATGCAAACTGCTGACACCCTCAGCCTCACTGATACTCCAGCCCTTCACTTAAGTGCATAACTACATTTCAGTACCTACATTAAACATATTAAATTAATTAATGTATTGAAATATACATTCTTCACATGTATTGAAAATCTGGCTATAATAATTTTGTTTCTATTTGCCCTGTGTTTCTGGAATAGATATTCATTGGAGTGCCCACATAACAAAGCAGGCTATCAGGCTTACAATGCACCTTGGATGATATGAAAGAAAAGCAGACTTGTTCAGGAAATGGAAACACAAAGCCCCTTACAGGTGGTGGTCATGTTTTTGCAAATTTATTCCTTAGTCTCTTGTCACCAGCTCAGACCTTCTTGTCACAAACTCGTATTTTTGACACAATCTTTTATTTAAAGAAATGTATACTTTCAGCAGGCAGAAAATGAATTCCATTTGTTACAATGGGTCAGACTTTATTCAAGTGCATATCAATGAACATATTCAGACTTTTGTCCCCCTTTTTGGATTGCAGCATCACTCAACTTCAATGACAGTTATTCCCAATTTAAACTCTTAAAAGTGAGAGAAGAGCAGGTCCAATCAACTGAGAATGATGAATTTCTCAGCACAGCCAAACACCACTCCAGTTCTCAAGCAGCATGAAGCAGATTTACTTGCTCAGTTTTACATCACCACTCCATGTATTGTCACAGGCTGTATGTCACAAGCTCTCAGTGTACACTGGATTATTTAAAAAAGGATTGCTTTCATTTTATTAATTCCATGGGACTGATCAATTCAACAAAATTTTGTACCTTTTCTTCATTTCTTTAAGTACAATTTTCATGGACAGCTACTTCTTTTGTTGAAAATTAAGTGCATTTGGATGAATTTATAAGCATTCTAAAAAACTTATAATAGCTGGCATGCTTATTTTCAATTGCCTTGATAAACCTCAGTTTTAAAATTGAAAACAGATACATACAAGCTGCATACTCCAGACATAGATTAGTCTGATAAATTTGGTTACATTTATTTTTCTGGATTTCTTCTCCAAATGATGCATCAAACAAATGTAGCGAAGTGTATCTTCTCAACTCACTTTAATTATACCTTTTTGCAATATAGCCCTGAATAAATAGAAAGTTTGAAACTCAGATATTAAATAGAGAAAGATTTAATAAATTTTTTAGAGAAAGAATTTTTTAGAGAAAGATTTAATAAATTTTTGTGCGTGCTTCAAGGAATAAAAAGGATTCATTAATGAAAAATATGATCAGCACTATCTCTATAGTGGCAGTGCTTGGGATCACCTGGATGATTGGTTACCTCATGTTAATAAGCAATGAAAAAACAAGTCTTGCTTTCAGCTTTCAGTTTTGTGTTCTCAATGTTACCCAGGTGTAATATTTAGCAATTCTGAGACTAATAATTGAGATTTAAAAACAAAAATTGGACTTATTTGTTCTACAGCTTGATATAGGGTGGGAACTTGTTAAAAAGCAGTTATAGAGATCAGATTTTTCTTCAGAAATGGATGTGTTGTCACACATAAAACTCTTACTCTTGTACAAATGAAGGTGGGATTTTATTTCAAGGCCAGCACTGAAAAGACTATTCTGTCTGGGTGGCTTCTCTTACACCAAATCATATATAAAATAATTTTCAGAAAGAATAGCAGGAAAAAAATCCTCTGCAACAGAAGTTGGAAAGAGTCCCAGAGTAGTAACAAGAGCTTCATGGCTTGAGGCCTTTCACAGTGATACTGAAAAAAGCCTTCAGGAAAGTTTCTGCCTCTTCTTTCCCTCCACAGCCCTGCTGGATTCTTGGCCTTGTATTCCTATAAATGCGTCCCTTCATATAAGGCATATGAAGTACTTGGAGTAGTAGATTCTTCATTATTATGCCCCTGGCTACTTTCTATAAAAGAGCTAATTAGAAATATGTGAAAATCCACCCATCCCTAAACACTAAATTGTTTATTGTCAGTTTGATCTACTGAAAACAGAGTGCTTGTACACCAGTGACAATCAGATCTGCAAACTCTGTGCAAAAAGTCCTGAGGTGGCCATACCACCCTGATGGACAGATTATGCCCAGGACTTAAAACTGAAGTCATGAGCAGGAAAGAGATCAATTTATTTAAAAACATGAGTCTTCTTTTTTTTTTTTCTGACTCAAGATTCTCCTTGAAATGAGAATTTAGAAAACCAGTACAGAAATGCTAAAGTCTTTATTCCCTTTGTCTGAATCTGACTGAAGTGCTGATATGGCACATCACATTTAATGCTTGTGGCATCCTCAGCCAGGTCTTATCTTCATCCTATCCAGATGAGAGTAATAATATGATCCTGAGACAGGCTCCTGACACATGCTAACTAATCCATTACAATGTGCAAATGAGGCATCTATAGTTGGGAATCACCTACATGGATTTGTTTTCCTCTCGAAAGTACTTCATTTATTTCAAGTTATTGACGTAATTGTTAGTAGTTACCAAAAATCATTTTATGGTTGTTTTTCAAATCAAGTCACATTGACTAATCTTTTCTGGTTTTAACAGCAAAATAAGTCCACGTTATTTCATTTCCTCAACAGGAACTCCAGATCTGCATTCTGTTCACTTTCAGAACACCTCTCTTCAAGACAAAAGTTTTCAAAGTGTTTCCATTTTCCATGTACCACTGTATCTGCATTAAAAAACATAAAATATTTCAAAATCACAGCCTGAAAAACATTCAGAGGAAACTTTCAGATCAACCCAGACTTTTTCAGACAATATTTCCTTGTCTACCTTCCCTAACCAGAACTGGAAACCTGTAAATCCATGAAATACAATCCCACATTGCTCATGGTTTGTTTCATACAGCTCCACTAGGTCCCTGGAATGATGGACACACTTCTCCAGCTGCAGGGAGCTGGAAATAGATCATAAGCTGAGACCATGGGGAGAGAGGACCAGGACCATGTGCTGGCTGGACAATGTGGCTGCAAAGCAGCCAGGCAGCACCTGAGCCTCTTGGTGCTGCTCGTACTCCAAGGTCTTGGCAAGGACTGAGCTAATGACAGCTTTACACTCCAGTACAGACACACAGACATCGCTCAGTACAGACACACAGATGTTGCTCTCATTATGCCCTTTGTACATTCCAGGCCCACTGGACATGGCCAATGCACTGCAGCTCTCCTCTCCCTTTCATAGGTAAAAATTCAATTTAATAGAAACCAGTGTATCAACAAGCAGCAATTATGAATGCACTGTGCATTACACATGAGACTTTCTGTGTGTCTTCATAGAAGTGTTTCATCAGTCCTGAAAAGTCCTCCATGTCTTAGAAATCCATGCTGCTTATGAGACAGAAAATAAGTGTACTGGAGCATTGATACACCTCTAAAAAGAGCAGTCACACCAGAAGCAAGGCTGAAGTTCATCACTACTGCTCCAGAAAAAGCAGGGAAGGTCATTAAAAGTTACTTAAGACAAGTAGCCCATACATTTTTTATTTTTATTTTTTGGATAGGAAGTTCATGTACCCGTGGGCATCCATTTTTTATTTGTAAATCCAATGTGTAATGCTTGCTTTTGTCGATTCCTCCAATTTCCTTCAGAAATTTTCCTTTAGAAATTTGTGTGGTTTAGGAAGTATGATACTTGATTGTGTTGTAGAACACTGCTAGGCACTGTGAGGATGACTCCTTAAATAAGTGATAATATTTTTTAATAATAGACATTTTTTCTCCAAAAGTGTTCTCTAAAGAAGATCCCACTTAATTTTGAATGGCTCTTTTAAAAAACTAATAACAATATTGTTTCCATATTATCCCAAAAAACGAGGCAAAAACCTACAAAGAATTTGAAGTATGGAAATGGAAGTGTTGTCTTCTCTTACTAATTAAGCATCCTGTCCCTAAGTATTTCAGATGTGAATAAAATGCTGTTATTGCCAACACTGAACATCTCATGCTTAATATAGAACACTTTCAACATAAAGCCCCCCTGTCCCTCCCAATTATACATTTCATGGCTTTTTCTTTCATCTAGGGAATCCTAATTTCAGAAATGGAACAAATTAAAATGATCTTTTCCAGATAATATGCTAAATTATTACAGGAACAATAGTTCAGCTCTTATCTACGCGTGGAATACATTTATCTTCACAGTGTAGTGAACTTTGGTATTGTTTGTGATATGTGGGCTTTAGGGATCAAAAAGTTTCTTGTTAATACTTTGGAAACACTACTTTGATAAAGAAATGGATTGGAGAAGGACTGAATCATCAGTACAAAGGTATGCAATACAAGTGGCAGAAAGTATAATGGAAGGAAACATCCACTTTTCTAGATCTTTCCCATATTTTTTAAAGCAAAGATTTTTTCATTGAAAACACTCAAATATTTTCTAAATACTTCGTAAAGTTTCGCAAAGAAGCCTCTTGAACCATGCCCCTCCTCCTCCTTGAAATGTTTAGATTTAAAATTTGTATCATGTTCACCTTCTCTCACTTCCATTTCAAATTCTCACCTCCATTTCCAATCTCCTTACTGCTAGCTGGACCCTCCTCTTGGCAGGGACAGAGTTCTCAGCAAGGATAAATACTACAAAAACTAAACAACTCTTACATTTTTCTTGTCCCAGCAGAAAACAGATATTAAAAGGAAAAGCTGTTTTTTCAGAGGCACCTTTAATGCCAGGAAATAACTAAGCACAGTTGTGCGTTCAGTAGCTCTGCATGGCACCTCTGTGGGAAGCACCGGCACAGCGCGGCCTTGGTGCTGAACGAAAACGGGCAGCAGAAATCCCAACTATCCCCGAGCAACACCAGCTCCAGTTCCAGCAGCTCTGGGAGAGGCACCCTCAGGAATCCATTCCCTCACCTTCCATTGACAAAACTCAGGAAATTAGCTGCAGATTTGTGGGTTTTGTCTCTTACAGGTGTTATGAATTGTTATAAATGATCAATCGACAGCCAAATTATGAAAAATGTGAAAGGATTTATTTATCTTTTTCCGTGACCAAAATACGGTCCTCAAAACCACCACAGCCACAGAGACAGAGTTGAGCCTGGAATCGGTACTTGGTGAACCTGGATCCGACCTCCATCGAATCCCCCGTTCACGTTCACGAGAGCCGCTTCAAGCGGAGATGTTTTATACAGTTTATTGTGCCCCAGGCAGAGGAGTCTCAGTTTCTTTTGTAACTCTTCACCGGCTTCTTTTGTAACTCTTCATATTCACAGTTGGTTCTTTCACTGTGCAGAGCTGGACCAATTGCCGCCTCCTGGCTGATAGCCAGCGTTGATCGAATCCCGGGAAGTCGCGTATTCACATGTATCTTTCTGGCGACTTTGGCTATCTTGATCAATGCTATCAACAGGGCGATCGCTCTTAGGCGGTTTCCGATTGACTTGGGACACCGGTGATCATCATGTTGGGTGCATCTATTCTTGGGGTAAATGTCGATCGTTATCTGGCCAACTCCAGGAATTTATTTCGGAGTTTGCATAGACATCCGCCTCTCAGGCAACTTGTGGTCAGAGACTCGTTTGGATTTCACAATCTTTATAAAATACATTCTTTGATAGCATGAATTCTTTCTAACATATATTACATAAATGATCAGCCAGAAATCCAAATTAATAAATGTGAAAGATTTTATTTTCGCGACCAAAATACGGTCCTCAAAACCCACAGCCAAAGAGGCAGCGTTGAGCCCCGGATCGGAGCTGGGTGAACCTGGATCTGTCCTCTATGGCACTGGACCTCCCTCTGTTCACAAATGCCGTTTCCAGTGAGGCTATTTTATACAGTTTTTTATGCCTGAGGCAGAGGTGCCTCAATTTCTTTTGTAACCCCGCATATGTATGAAGTTTTCTTTCACTGTGCAGCTCTGGACAATTGCTGTTTCCTGAGTAGTGGCAGGCGCTGATCATGTCAGGGGAAGTCGTGTATTCAGATATACGTTCCTTGGCGACTTCGGTTATCTTGATTGATGGTATTTACCAAGCGATGAACACCCTTGGGTGTTCCTTGATGGCTCCGGAGGAAGCCTGTGAAAAATGCATGTATTTTATGATTGGCTTTTCACAAATATTAAAATGAATATTATATGTGTTGTGTTAGAAAGTAATGCTGTATTAATTCTCTTAAGTAGCGTGTTAAATATAGTTTTAGGCTATAAAAAAATGTTAAAATAGAAACTATGCTATGTAGGATACTTTTTTTAAAGAAAGGACTCGCAGTGAGATAGCAGCCACAGGACACCTAAATCTTTCAGAGAAAAATAATTGATTGCTCCATTATCAGAAGAAACAAACTTCTTCCTGCCTCGAAGCCGCTGTTAGGATTCAGAGGAAGAAGTTGACACTGACCAGACAGAATCCTGTATTTGAATAGAATTTATGCATCATGTATGAGGTGTATGAATATGCAACGGGCTGTTGTTTTTAAGGGTTAATCCTCTGTTAACGGGTGTCCTTTTTCGGGCTCGTGCTGCCCAGAAAAAGGTACCCGGACATCAGTAACTCTTTGTTTCTATTGTCTCATATTGTCCCAATTCAAATTGCCCAAATTATTATTACTCTAATTGTATTATTATTTTTATAACCATTTTATTACTATTAAACTTTTAAAATTTTAAAAACAAGTGATTGGCGTTTTTCACAAAGCCCATCTCCGCGCCAGCCACGTTATTTTATGAGAAAACGAGGCATTGTTCTCCTGCTGCCACCAAGAGTTTCGTGATTCCAGTGTAGTAACCTCTCCAGGTTGCTCGTGGTCAGAGGCTCGTTGGATGTTACATTCTTTTTACAATTTTTATTATATACATTGTCCCCTTAAGCATGAATTACTTTATAACATTTATTAGAGGGGACAAGCTCTGAATGCGACACAGTGGAGTGTGAGAGGGTGTGAGAGGGTGAGGGTGTGAGGGTGTGTGCAGCTACCAGAGTAATGATGAATGACCAGGATGAATGGCTCCTGTGCGTGGGTGTCTAGCAAGTCTAACAAGTACAGGGGAATTTTACGGCCCGTTTTTTATCTGAACACTGCCAGCCTACGAAGGCCAAGGCTCGTATTTCGAAAGAAGCCCTCCGTCAGAGCGCGGCCTCGCTGCGGCAGCGCTGAGCTGGCACAGCGGCCGATGAGGAGCCGCCATGTCGGCCGGCAGGGGGCGGGGCCCCGCGCAGCGCAGCACGCACGCGCGCGCGGCTCGCGCAGGCCCGGCCTCGCTCCGGCCCCTTCTCTCTGCCCTGCCACGTACGGGCGGTGGCGGCCGTGCCCGGGGCTGGACGGGGGGGCTGCACCGGCGGGACGGCGGAGAAGCCAGAGTAAGAGAGCCGAGGCTGCTCCCGGGAGCAGCCGCGTGTGGAAGCGGCGGGAAGGAGGGAGAGAGGGGCAGCTTTGGGTTTGGGGTGAGCCGGCCGCCCCCTCCTCCCGGCCCCATCGTTCCCCGGTGCTAGGGGCGACGCGGCCCCTGGCGGAGGGGCCGGGAGACCCCTGGCGTCCCCCCGGGCGCGGCTGAGGGGGGCGGAGAGCGGCCGCGGCCTCCTGGGCCCGGAGCGGGAGAGCCCGGGATCCCTGCCCCTGCTCGGCCCGCTGCTTCCTGGGGCACCCAGCCACCAGAGCTGCCGGCTCCTCACTGCCAGGCAGGCGTTGGCTGCGATTTCTGTTCCCCTTTGGGCCGGGCCTGCCCGAATGGGAACTGAGAAACCCGAAAAGAGCTCCTCTCCCTTCTGCTCCCTCGCGTCACCCCCCGCCTGCCTTGGGAAAACTCATGGCTCTCTCTCGGATGGCGTTTGGGAGGCACTCCTGCTTGCTCGTGTTTCTGTCGGCGTCACTCTAATCCTGAACCCTGTTTTGATCAGAAAAAATTAAAGCAGGAGTGTCTGTCCCTCCCTTGTTTTCTCTGTTTTTCTCTGCTGCTGCGCAGAAAGGGTAGTGAAATGCAACGTGGTCATGAGATGCTGGTTTTAGAGGGAATCCTGAAGTGACTGGCCTAGATATGGCAATCCCTGTCCACATGCACCACCTAGATTAGTGCATGATGTGAATGGAGGGTGAGCCAGGAGGGGAGGAGAAGTCTGTACCTGCAAAATGCAGAAGGTTAGAAAGATGTCAGTGTGATTCTTATGGAAAGCAGCCTGTAGGCTGAAAGATGGAGACGTAAATGGTTGGTTGATTCCTCCCTGCCCCAGGAAAGTAGACACTGATTTTGTTAAAAGGCTCATTAGTGTGCATTCTGGATGTGTTCTCTGTAGAACTCTCTCAGTGGAGTCATCCATTCAGCTGTGTCACAGTGAGGGGGAAAAAGCTTTAGTGCTCTGTAGTTCAGCAGTCTGAGTATTTAATATGGTTTTCTGTAACAGTAGCAAGCAACTGCAGTGTTTAGAATCTTTAAATCTGGACACCTTCAAGCAGAATGGAGAACAGCTAGACCAAAAAAAGTGCATTTATTCTCCTGCTACCTTTTCGTAGTCAGAGATGTGCAGCAGGTTGCTGTGGGTAATGTGGGTAAATAAGGCATTACAGTAAGTCCTTTCTTGCACAAAGAAGTGAACGATACATTCTGTCTGTTGAAAGGCCACAGGAGTTCAGCTGTGTCCACCAAAATGTGTGTATGTTTAGGACTCAGAGATGAGGTTCAGTTATTACTGTTAACAGTTCCTGAGTAGCAAATACTGTAATGCTGAAGAAGCAAAGCCAGTGCCCAAGTCTTACACTTAAACAAGGTGAGGGGGTGGCTAAATGAACGCTTTGGTTCAAGCATTCCTAGATGCATTATCTGTATTTATCCAGTGCAGTGAACTTACCCGGAGCTGTAGCAGGCTGGGGTGAAAGGGGTGTTATCTTCCTGCCTTACTTATTTCATCAAGTGTGAGTGAGGCATCAGAGAAGTAGTCTCTTCCTGTTCCCCTGCTCGGTGTGTCACAGCAATCTCTCACTGTCAGGAGCAGGCACAGCCCTTTGCAAGGGGAGCATTTCCTAGCCAGGATGAGGGGAGCAGCCGCCAGCCTTTGAGATCCAGAGTGGCTTTGTGTCTCTTCTGGGGTTTGCTTGTTCTCTCTCTTCATCCTGTGTTCCACTTTACTTCCAGATGAGCTGAAACAGGAGAGCTGGGAAGCCCAGCTTTATGTGAATAAAGGGGAACCTACTTTTTTCCTCTGGTTAGCAGTGAATCACCTAAAAATCAGATTATGGATTGTTGGAATTGGCTGTGCGTGTGAAAGAGAGGAGTTGCCAGGAGGGTGCACCCATGGGGTCAAAAGGGAGGAGCCAGGGGTGTTCCCTATTGGACTGTTCTGTTTGCTAAATCATCTCTTGCTCTTAGTCCTGGAAAGGAATACATTACTGTTAGGAATTCCTACATGTCACTAGAAAATTTAAAAAAATTAAAATATTTTATTACAAAATTAGAAGTCTTGTTTGAGATCTCTTTTAGATGAATGCAAATTCTCCAATACTCAAAAGTATAAATCTGATTGTTACATTGTGGATAAAGCAAGGGCTTTTTCTATTGGGTGTATTCAGTAAGATGTTCTGAAGTGAAAGATTGATGTGAATGGTGCCATTCTAGCGAAGTGTGACTGTAAATATGTTTATTTTATTTTCTGATGCAGCTTCCTGTTCCCTGCATTGACAGTGCATGGCGACTTATCCTAACTGTGTCCTGAAGTGAGGTGGGAAAACTGTCCCATAATCCAGCAGCACTAAACAGACAAGGTAATGACAAATGAATATTTTTGGAAAGCAGATTGAAGAAAATCTGTGGGTCAATACTGTTTTATTTTTTAATGCTTAAATAAAAAAAAAATCACAACAACCAACCAACTTGTGCCAAACCCTATGCCTTTAAATGTAATTTAGAGTTAATTAGGTTGGGTTGATGTGCCTGCAGTCAAGACTCCTCTGTTGCAAAAGCTGAATAATGCATTAGTGAGCATTACCAATACTATAAACTTCTCAGTTTGATCACAGTGCCTCAGCAGCAAGGTGGCTGTGTTCATTGCTGGTCCCTTTTCCCTGCAGTTGGACTGAACCCACCTACCTCTTCTTACATGTGATGAGGAGAGTGAGTTTTGATCAATAATTGCTTGTATCTTTTTGGGCTAAACAAAGGCCTTTGCCTGAAATCTTTGCTTTGTGTTAAGTTAATTACCGACACCCCCAGAAATTTAATTGCAGTCTAAAGATGGCATTATACCCATCTTTTTAATGCAAAATATTGTCACTGAAAAAATAGAGTTAAATATATAGAGGTACATCAAGGAATGTACTAAAGGCTTTAGCTGATTGTCTTGTTTCTGGTAGGAGAGAATTTTCAGTGCAGTACTTCAAAAATAGACTGACTATAGCAAAATTCATTTTTCTCATGGGGCACTGTGTTATAACATTCTTTAAGGTAAAAGAAAAATAGTTGCAT